TTGGAATCCCAGTAGTTAATGATTTTTTTATTTTGACAGCCATGTAATTTAAATATAATTATTTGATTTTAGTTACCCAAATGGAAGCAATATACCCGTGTACTCCGTCGCCATGTGGTCCAAATAGTCAATGTAGAGAATTAAATAATCAAGCTGTTTGTTCTTGTTTACCATCCTTTATCGGAAATCCACCTATGTGTCGTCCTGAATGTACAACTAGTGCAGAATGTCCAACAAATTTAGCATGCGTAAACAATAAATGTGTAGATCCTTGTCCAGGAGTATGTGGACAAAGTGCAAATTGCAGAGTTATAAATCACAGTCCATTGTGCATATGCAATTCAGGATTTACAGGAGATCCGTTTTCTATTTGCTATCCAATACAAAGTACTTAAATAATATTAAATTATAATTATAATAAACTTTTCAAAAATAAATAATTATTTATATAGATGCTCCAGAACCTCTACCACAACCACCGATAAACCCGTGCATACCATCACCATGTGGTGCCTACTCCCAATGTCAAAATTATGGAGGTTCTCCTTCGTGTACATGTTTACCATCGTATATAGGATCTCCGCCAAATTGTAAGCCAGAATGCACAATCAATGCTGATTGTCCTAGTAATGTGGCATGTATTAGAGAGAAGTGTAGAGATCCGTGTCCAGGTTCTTGTGGTTTGAATGCCCATTGTCAAGTATTAAACCACATTCCTATATGCATTTGTCCAGAAGGATATTCTGGAGATCCTTTTTTGAGCTGTTACATCAAACCAGAACGTAAGTATTATATAAATGATAAATTTAGTACAATTTATTTCTGCTAAATATATCAATATATTTATATTATTCACAAATCACATTAAATATCAAATTAAATTTCATTAATTTAGCGCCAATTCAACAAGCTTCAGATCCTTGTAATCCTTCTCCATGTGGATCAAATGCTTTGTGCAATAATGGAATTTGTACGTGCATTTCTGAATATCAAGGAGATCCCTATAGCATATGCCGACCAGAATGTGTCCTTAATAATGAATGCCCTCAAAATAAAGCATGCATACGAAATAAATGTATGGACCCTTGTCCAGGAACTTGTGGTAAAAATGCATTATGTGAAGTTTATAATCACATACCAATGTGTAGATGTCCACAAGGAATGAATGGAAATGCATTTATTGAATGTTTACCATACCAAGGTATTAATAACTGATTATACATTAATTATAAAATACTAATATTTTTTATATATTCATAAAGCTCCAATTGAAACAAATCCATGCCAACCATCTCCATGTGGCCCCAACAGTCAATGTAGAGAAGTGAATGGCTATTCAATGTGTTCTTGTCTTAATGGATATTTTGGAACGCCACCATCTTGTCGTCCTGAATGCTCCATTGATTCCGATTGTAGTCAAAATAGGGCCTGTTCAAATCAAAAATGCCGTGACCCGTGTCCAGGAGCTTGTGGAGAGAATGCTCAATGTCACACTATAAGTCATAGACCACATTGTACATGTCCTCCAGGTTTCACCGGAAACGCATTTTCTAGATGCTATGTACAACAATGTAAATTAGATATTTAATTTTAAATTAAGATTTTTATTTAACTTCGTACATAATTGTTTATTTAGTACCACCAGAACCAGTCCGAAATCCATGTGTACCTTCACCGTGTGGCCCAAATTCTCAATGTCAAATTAACGGAAATTCTCCATCGTGTTCATGTGCACTTGACTATATTGGTTCGCCTCCAAACTGCCGTCCAGAATGTATCAGTAATAATGAATGTGCTTATCATCTTGCCTGTATCAATTTGAAATGTAAAGACCCGTGTCCTGGTGTGTGTGCTTCGAATGCTATTTGCAAAGTAATTAGTCACACTCCGAGATGTAGCTGTCCACCTGGTTATAGTGGTGATCCATTCACACAATGYATATTAAAACAAGGTAAATATATTGTTARTTCTAAATTGAAAATAATATTATCGTCAACTGTATAATAAACATATAAGTTTTATTTTTTCTAGCGGAACCAATTCAAGAAATAATAAATCCTTGTAGACCATCACCTTGTGGTCCCAATACATTATGTAAAGAACAAAATAATGCTGGTTCCTGCATTTGTCTACCTGAATATTATGGAAATCCTTATGAAGGATGTCGACCTGAGTGTATGGTTAATACTGACTGTAATGCTAACAAAGCCTGCATGGCAAACAGATGTAACGACCCATGCCCAGGAACTTGTGGCAGTAATGCTAAATGTCAAACTATTAACCACATACCAATGTGCAATTGCTTACCTGGATATATTGGAGATCCGTTTAAATACTGTCAAATTATACAACCACAACGTAAGTGAAAATAAAATTGTAACAAATAAAATTTCTTCATTAAAAATTTAAACAAAATTTCTTTTGTATAGAAGCTGAAATTATACCAAGTTATCCATGCACTCCATCTCCGTGTGGTCCAAACAGTTTTTGCAAAGAGAATAATGGACAAGCCATTTGCTCGTGTTTACCATCCTATGTAGGATCTCCACCTGGATGTAGACCTGAATGTGTCACTAACGCTGAATGTGTGCAAAACAAAGCATGTATTAATCAAAAATGTGCAGATCCCTGTCCAGGAACATGTGGAAAAAATGCGTATTGCCAAACAATAAACCATCATCCTATATGTAAATGTAGCGCCGGTTACACAGGCAATCCATCTACATACTGTTCCTTAATAAAATGTAAGTCTGTCTAATAATAATTATGACTTATTTAGGAATTAAAATTTCAACTACATAATTTAACCATAGTTTTTAGCATAWTACAACAWAACAACAGATCATTTTTATCTACATAATACTGACATACAATACTATTATATAATATGGATAAAATACGTAATATATAAGAAAAATAAAGATTAAAACATAAGTAAATGTATACAAAGCAATATGTTAAATTAAAAATTAAATATTATATGACCGTATGTTTTCTTATTAGTGCTATTCTAATACAATTACCAACAGCCATAGGCAATACAAAATAATATGATCAGCATTATGTAGTATAATATGTATTTATTTTACTTGTTCAATTAAAAAATGCATACTCATATGAATAATGGGTCCCATTCCACAGAGAAGGCTCATTTTGATAGTTATGCTGAGTTGTAACGTTTAGAATATAAACGTGGATCTCTTAGTCATTAAAATTTATAAGAACAAAATAATATTCAAGAAATTTAAGGTGGCCAATTATTGTATGTATAAAATCAAAATAAATGTAGCTACTTGATCTAGATACCTAATAAAATCAGTTTTTTAAAAGAAAAAATAACAAAATTATATTTGAAAAAATCTAATGATAGAATCATAATAATATTTTGAGTAAAGAGTTCTTTTACTCGATGTTTATATAATTCAATTTTAAACAGTATTATTTTTTACATCAGATAAACTACTAATTCCTTAAATAAATAATTAAAAATTTATATTATACAGTTAATAAATATTTTCCAATAATTTTTTAGATGAATCTCAAGAAACACCTGTTATTATTAACCCTTGCTCGCCTTCACCTTGTGGACCTTACTCTGAATGTGTAGTATATGGAAACTCTCCATCTTGTTCATGTTTACCTGCATATGTCGGTAGTCCACCAAACTGCAGACCTGAATGCATTGTTCATGCTGAGTGTCCAAGTAACATGGCTTGCATGAGAGAAAAATGCAGAGATCCATGTCCAGGATCTTGTGGTTTAGGATCACAGTGCAATGTAATTAATCATCTACCGATTTGTACATGCCCAGCTGGTTATACAGGAGATCCATTTGTCAGCTGTTATATAAAATCAAGCCCAAGTTAGTCTAAAAAAAATCTTCCAATCAATTTATACATCATATTTATAAATATTTTTGTATGTTTAGCTCCAAAGCCACAATTCACAGACCCATGTTATCCATCTCCATGTGGACCAAGTGCTATATGTAATAATGGAATTTGTTCATGTATACTCGATTATCAAGGTGATCCCTACCGCGGTTGTCGGCCGGAATGTGTTTTAAATGAAGATTGTCCTAGGGATAAAGCATGTGTGAAAAATAAATGCATCAATCCATGTATAGGCACTTGTGGAAACAATGCAATTTGTGAAGTTTATAATCATATACCAATGTGCCATTGTCCACCTGGAATGACTGGAAATGCATTTATTACGTGTCACCAAATAATACTACAAGAACCAGTAAAACAAAATCCATGTTCACCTTCACCCTGTGGTCCAAATAGTCAATGTCGAGATGTAAACAATCAACCAATTTGTACATGTTTACYTACTTTCTTTGGATACCCTCCCAATTGTCGACCTGAATGTACTGTTAATTCGGATTGTTCTATGAACACCGCTTGTCTAAATCAGCGGTGTAGAGACCCGTGCCCGGGAACTTGTGGTATGAGTGCAGAATGCCAAGTCATAAATCATAATGCAATATGTAGTTGTCCAATGCATTTAACTGGAGATCCATTTTCGAAATGCTACTATCCAGGTAAATAAAATATTAATGATCTTAAAGTTTTAAGTAAGACCTAAAATATTGTTTCAATATGAAATAAATAATCACTATATTATATTTATATTATATTTTTGTTTACAGTTGTATCGAAACCACAACAAGATCCAACTAACCCTTGTATTCCAAGCCCATGTGGACCATACTCGGAATGCCGTGTAACTTTGAACACTTACACATGTACATGTATACCAAACTACCAAGGATCACCTCCACATTGTCGTCCAGAATGTATTTCGAATAGCGATTGTAGTTATAATTTTGCATGTATCAATATGAAATGCAAAGACCCGTGTATTGGTTCATGTGGTTTAAATACTGAATGTCATGTATATAACCATATACCTCAATGCACTTGTATTCAAGGATTTGTTGGAAATCCTTTCGTATCATGTCATATTCATCAAGCGCAACGTAAGGATGATTTGTGTTTCTATCACATTGTCAATAATAATTTGTTTTTAATAACTAATTTGATCTACAACAGCAAAATCCAAAACTACGTCCATAACAATTTATTTTACGTTAAGATAATTTATTATAAGTTAGATTTTAAGTTAAGATATTTACTAGTCATAAGTATATTTTTAAATCTCCACATATCAACTAATAAAATTCAACGTCGTCTCTAGTTTAATCTTAGTTGAAAATTTTAAGCAATGGTTTGTAAAATCTTTGAAAAATGCATGCTTATAAATTGTTTTGCATGGTTTTATAAATGTATTGCATGATTATTATATATTTGCATGAAAATTATTTGTTTTATACTTAAGTATGAACAAATATACCGACATGATACGTAATATATTCAAATTGTTTTTACTCATAAAACTTAATTATCTAAATTATAGCTGTACAACCAACTCCAACATCACCATCAGATCCTTGTTACCCCTCACCGTGTGGACCTAATGCTAGATGTCGTGTCCAGAACCAGAACGCCATTTGTGAATGTTTACCAGAATATCAAGGAAATCCGTACGAGTCTTGTAGGCCAGAATGCCTAGTTAGCTCTGATTGCACCATGAACAAGGCTTGTATTAGAAGCAAATGCCAAGATCCATGTCCTGGTACATGTGGCATATCTGCTATATGTTTTGTGTCAAATCATATACCAATATGTTCATGCCCCGAAAGTTTAACTGGTGATCCTTTCCAAATGTGTCACCCAATACCAGTTAGAGGTAATAAATTCTTAAATTGCTAAGAATAATATTTGATAATTTGTGTTAATGTTTATCTTAACTTAAATTGTCATGCTATACAGTACAAATAATTATAACTTTAACGTAAATATGATTATTTTATTAAATTTTTTAAATACCTAATTGTTTAGATCCAATTCCGTCTGATCCATGTATTCCATCACCTTGTGGACCAAATACTCGTTGTCACATAATGAATGGCGCAGCTATCTGTGAATGTTTACAAGGATATGAAGGATCTCCCTCCACTAGTGGATGCAGGCCCGAATGCGTGATTAGTCCTGATTGTCCTCGTAATAGAGCTTGCGTTAACAATAAATGTGTTGACCCGTGTGTCGGAGTATGTGGATATGATGCAATTTGTCAAACTATTAACCACAGCCCTGTTTGTTCTTGTCCACCACCCACTATTGGAGATCCATTCGTTGAATGTAAACAACAACCAGGTAAATTTTTATTTTTTAGATTTAAATATAATTTATATAATTTATTTACATATAAATATTTCAACACCTACACTTTCTACCAGCTTTGCCAAGTGACCCATGTAACCCATCCCCGTGTGGAAGTAATGGTCAATGTAGAGTAATCGGAAAAGTTGCATCTTGCGTTTATCCGGAATGTATTATTAACCAAGATTGCCCAAGAGATAAGGCATGTTTTACACAGAAATGCCAAGATCCATGTCGAGATGTTTGTGGATTAAACGCTATTTGTCAAGTAGTAAATCACAATGCTCTATGTTCATGTCCTCCAGGATACTATGGAGAACCTAAACAACAGTGTATAATACAACGATCACCAGGTAAAATATAAAAACTAAATAGTAAATATTGTAACCCATCAAAACTATATTCTTATTGTATAGTTGCATTTGAAAAAATATTAAAATTTATTTTTACATAAAATAATAGAAATAATACTATCTCCAAAAACCTAAGCTTGTATTATATTATATAATATAATATGACTAATTATTTATAAAAGTACTGTCATGATTCATAATGCATGAACACAACCATTTTAATTGTGAAATAAAAATATTAAATAACTAATGATAGTAAAATAAATAAGTTCACAAATTATTTAATAAGCGATATATTTTATTTAAGCTAATCGTAATAATTTTTATATAAATCCAAATAATGAATGAAATTGACATTTAAAATTTATAAAATACAAATTCAATGAAACTTTTCTTTTGGAACTGTTTCAGTTGCGTATGTCATAAGTACTGTATTTTATTAGTTTAATTTCCACCCAATTTAGAAAGAAGTTTTACTTCAAAAATATTATTTAAAATGTCGTTATTCACATAACTAATTAATTATTTATTATAATAAATTATAATAACATTATTATTTTGTAGAACCTAAGCCAGAATGTACTACTGATGGAGAATGTTCCAACGACAAAGCGTGTATAAATTATGCCTGTAAAAACCCGTGTCAGGAATCACCAACTACTTGCGCGAGAAATGCATTATGCTATGTTCAGAAACACAGATCTGTGTGTGTGTGTAGAGATGGAATGACTGGAAACGCTCAAATACAATGTGTAGAAAGTAAGCTTTTGATCAACAAAATATAATTTACTATAAATCTTAATCTAATTGTAATTTCCAGTTGGTTGTCGTGCTGATACTGATTGTCCACCAGAAAAATCATGTGTTAATGGAGATTGTGTTGACCCGTGTGCATACACTCATTGTGGTATCAACGCACTTTGTCGAACTGATGGGTACCACAGAGCTCGGTGTTATTGCCCTCCCGCGTATGAGGGAGATCCATTTGTAGAATGTAGAAGACCTGAATGCGTGACCGATTCAGACTGTCCGTCAACATTAGCTTGTAGAAATCAACATTGTCAAAGTCCATGTGATTGTGCCCCGACTGCTTTGTGTACCGTGGCTAACCATGTAGCTGCGTGTAGATGTCCACCAGGTTATATAGGAAATCCTCATACTTCTTGTACATTAAGTATGTAATATAGTGTATTTAATAGCTTTATATTTTTAACGTTACATAAAATATTATTTATTTCGTAATACGCTTACTAACCAATTTTTTTATGTTATTATTATTAGCTCCACTCGCTATTCCACCTCAATGTACAATGGACTCAGACTGTGCTAGTAAATTGGCCTGTTTCAACGGAGATTGCAAAAATCCATGTTATGAGATAAAACCATGCGGGCCAAATGCTGAATGTATTGTAGTAGATACGTTACCTCATAGAACTATGTCATGTCAGTGTATTCCAGGCTATGTTGGCGATGCCGACGTCCAATGTAAACTAGGTAATAAAATATGTTTCGTAATAGATTAAAGTTAATGAATGTATCTCAAACTAATTAAATTCCAGCTAATAACATTGATAATATACAATAGCATTACTAATTAATACTACATTTTATGTGATTTCAGATTATAGCTGCTTATCTATTTCCTATAAAATATCCTCTAATATACACTTATTTTGAGTGACACATCTGAGTTCATTTGAAAATATAATAATATGTAACATATAATTATATGTGTAAACATGTTTTGTCAATCCCTTCACTTCCATTAGCTTTATTTCTGTTGTATATAAATATACTATATAGATTGACTTCATGTTTTAATAACTTTTTTAATGTTACAGACCAAAACAATATAATTATATATACAATTTACTAAAGTGTGTTTTATTTTAGGTGCTCCGTCATCAGTAGGTTGTACCTCTAATGACGATTGCCAACAGACAGACTTTTGCTTAAACCGCCAATGTGTTAATCCATGCACTATATCCAACCCTTGTTCATCTACTGCACTGTGTACAATCAATAATCACAAAGCCGTTTGTAAATGTCCAGACGGCCTTTTTGGTGATCCATTCGTCAGTTGTTACAAAGGTAAGAAAATTGAAAATTACTATATTTACTGACACATCTATTATTTTAAATAAATTCAACTTTATTTTATTTTTAAACTTACAAATGTTACAGTACCACTGGCTTCACCAGAATGTACAACAGATTCTGAATGTCCAAGTTCTAAAATATGTGCCAACCAATATTGCCAAGATCCGTGTCAAATATCAAAACCATGTGACACCACTGCTGAATGTGTAACAATTAATCATCGACCAATTTGTAATTGTCCAAATGGATGGGCAGGAAATCCTCAAATTCAGTGTTATAAACGTAATATATACTATCCTAAAATAATTAATCATAGTTATAAATGATCACCATCTGTATAATTATGTATTTTTTTTTGTATTTTCAGCTGGTTGCAAGACCGATAGTGATTGCGTTTATGATAAAGCATGCATTAACAGCAATTGTTTGAATCCGTGTTCTACTCTGAGTTGTGGTCATGGAGCTGATTGTATTGTACAAGCTCACAAAGCTCATTGCATTTGTCCGGCAGGTACACAAGGTTCACCGATGATATCTTGTGTATCAGTAGTGTGCCAGTATAATGAAGACTGTGCAGATCATGAAGCATGTGACAGGTTAAACAGAAGATGCAGACCTGTCTGTGAACAAGACACTTGTGCTGAGCAGGCAACATGTCTAGCTCAAAATCACCAACCAACGTGCACATGTTTAAATGGCTTCCAAGGCAACCCTTACATTGAATGCATTGGTAAATTAAATATAAATATCAGTGTTATGTCTGCAGTGTGTTATAAACTTTTAATTTTTGTTTCTAATTTAATATAGAATCAAGAGTACCATCCATAACTCCTGAGTGCACTACTGATTCTGACTGTCCATCACAACATGCTTGTGTAAACCAGAGATGTCAAAACCCCTGTACCATTTCTGTACTCTGTTCACCAGATCAAGAGTGCCATGTTCAAGACACAGTTCCATACAGAACTATTATGTGTCAATGTAGATCAGACACTGTTGCCACTATTGATGGTGGCTGCAAACCAATAGGTAAACTTTTTGTGAAACCATAACATTTTACTCATCTCACCTATTTAATTATAGTAATTGGTAAATAAGAGGTACTTTATATTTTTCAAACAATAAATAATTATTTGAACATTTTTTTTTTATATATACATACATCAAATTAAAAACTATACTTATTTAAATGCATGCTATTCTTAAATTTAAAAAAAAACATATAATTACAATAATATATCAAAACACTTTTTTCAGTTCCCATTACTCCTCAATGTAAAAGCGATCTAGAATGTCCATTATCAGAAAGATGTGTGAATCAAGGATGTGTAGAAGCATGTCGAATCGACCCATGTGGTATAAATGCACAATGTATCTCACAAAACCATCAAGCTGCATGTTCATGTCCACCAGGCTATACTGGAAATCCACACACAGAATGCTCACTTCGTAAGAGTTAACACATATAAAACAAAATATGCCTTATTATTGTTTATTTGTATTTTAATACTAATGGTATACACATTATTATAGAACAATCGATTCCAATATTACCACCATATCCAGAATGTACGAAAAACGATGACTGTGCGTCAGACAAAACTTGTATCAACCAAAGATGTGTTAGTCCATGCACTTTAGGAGACAGTTGTGGCCGTGGATCATTCTGTCATTCACAAAACCACCAACCCATTTGTAGATGTCCTAACGGTTACACCGGAGATCCTCGCATAGCTTGCACTCCACGTAAAAACTATTTTTATATACATATTTTACTTTTACATATTACAATATATTACAATTTATTTATTGATTTGTATATTTTATATTAATAGCATCGTCAATACCATCCGTGGAATGTGTTTCAAACACTGATTGTACTGCAGAGGAATCGTGTATCAATAGAATGTGTGTGAGTCCGTGCAATTGCGGTCCCAACTCGGATTGCAAAGTTAATAACCACTATCCTAGTTGTATTTGTAAGCCTGGGTATTATGGAAATCCTCAACAAGGCTGCATAAAAAGTAAATAAATATTTTCAAAATGTCAATAAAACTATATGTAACACATATAGTTTCATCATTCAATAAATTTGTTTTTGAAATATAACATTAATAACATAATAACAATTATATATTTTTTTAAATTTTCAGTAGGATGTATATCAGATGATCAATGTGCTTATGATAAACAATGTTACAACGGCGAATGTGTTCCACCGTGTTTACTGAGCGACCCCTGTGCACCAACTGCAAAATGTTACGGTGACAATCATCGTGCTGCGTGTCAATGTCCGACGGGTTACTTCGGAAATCCGTTTGAGAAATGTGAAAGAACTGAATGTACATACGACGTGGACTGCCCGTCAGATCGTATGTGTTTTGACCAGCATTGTATCAATCCATGCACAGAACAACACGGCACTCCATGCGCATCAAATGCCATCTGCTCTGTCAGAAACCATGCCGCGACATGTAGATGTCCAGAAAACTTCCCGATGGGTGATCCAAATACTTACTGTGAACGTTTACCACCACCTCTGTTTGGTGAACCAGAATGCAAAATTGACGTGGATTGTGCCAGTCGTCTTGCATGTATCAGAGAAAAATGTGTAGATCCTTGTCATGAAATCAAACCCTGTTCAAATAGTGCTACGTGTACGGTCTTGGACAGTGTACCAGTTAGAACAATGACGTGTACGTGTTCCGAAGGATGGGTGCTTAACGAAGGTGGAGAATGTAGACAAGGTTAGATTTTGTTTATAATCTTGATAATGTAGACATTATATGTATTTTTTTCTAAATTACTTGTTTTTTTGTAGTCGTTGTTTCCTCACCACCAGGTTGTACTACAAACGATGACTGTCCGTCAAACGAAGCATGCCTTAACCGACAGTGCCGTAATCCTTGTAATTGCGGTACAAACGCCCAATGTTTCGTTCAAAATCATCACCCAGTTTGTTCTTGCTTGGAAGGTTATGATGGAAATCCAAACTTTGCTTGCAGAATAGGTACGTATATTATATAACCGGTGTTTAATTGTAATATTCAAAACTTATTCGAACAATATTATAATTTATTTCAATTTTTGCATATGCAATTTATAGCTCTTATGATTTTTTTAATCTTTTCTTAGGCTTTAACGATTTTGATATAATCATTATCTCTTTTTGGCTTACGAAGTATCTTAATAAACCAGCCTATCTCCTTCCTATAAACTATAGTTTATCAGACAATTTACATCCTATTTTTGAGCAATACTAAAAAATCCTTGTTTTCTTTAAATCGTTGCATAGTAACAACTTTTTTTTAAATCTTATTCGTATTTATGTATGTACAGTGGGATGTAAGAGAAACTCAGAATGTGATTCCGGCAAAGCCTGCATCAACGGCCATTGTCTAAATCCATGCATAGTAGAAGATCCGTGTGGTCCGAACGCTGAATGTTTCACAGTTGCCAGTCGCCCTGAGTGTCGGTGCAAGAGCGGTTATCGAGGAAACCCGTATGACCGGTGCCTGGTAATCGGTTGCCGCAGCAACAACGACTGCCCCAACGACCGATCATGTATAAATGGCCAGTGCATAAACCCGTGCGTGTACGAACACCCGTGTTCGTCGCAAGCCGAATGCAAAGTACAAAACCATTTCGCTCTGTGCCGATGTCCTCCGGGAATGGTGGGTAACCCGTACGTGGCCTGCAGACAGGAAGCGCAGCCAGAATGTAAGGAAGACGCTGACTGTCCGTCACTGTTGGCCTGCTTTGACAATGTGTGCCGTAACCCATGCACTACGTTAGAACCGTGCAAACGGCCGGCCGAGTGCGTGGTGATCGATTCACTACCGGTCAGGACCATGATCTGTGAATGTCCCAGTGGTTACGTGAGCAGCGGCAGTGGCACTTGTAAGATCACGCCACCGATGACAGCCGTAGCCTGCACCACAGACACGCAATGCCCATCGGACAGGGCTTGCCTGAACGGCAGGTGCATAGATCCGTGCAACTGTGGCCCGAACTCCGAGTGCAGAGTGTGGGACCACAAGCCAGTATGCTCTTGTCTGGCTGGATTTGACGGCAGCCCAGAGATCGACTGTTCTAGAGGTACAACCACTCATTTCTTTCATTTTATTCACTATAAACTAAGATACCTATTAAATAATTGTTATCGTGCTCCAAAAAGCATAATGAATCATGCAGACCTAATTAACAAGTAATAACTGATAAAATTATATGTTATACGATTATAATTATTAAAAAGATAATTCCTGAACTACGACTATCAATCAACGTTGATGTACAATTAACTAGGCATCATTGTTATTTGTTTACCATGTGTACCCACTAATCATATTATATATCACGATATGTACAGAAAAAATTTCACTATTATTTCATGGATAGTGAAATTTTCAATCTTGAAATATTTCAAATTTAGACACCTATACTACATACCGTATTCTTGATATGACTTATTGAAGTCTAACCTAATCTAGCCATTTTTAAATTTCTTTAACAATCATTGTGGCACGTAGTAAAACGGTGTGCTCTGTTGTTGGTTCCGTCTTATGCTTCATAATATTTTTACTCTATCATACCTAGCTCACCGTAGACATTCCTTAACCAGTAATAAAAAACATTGACATGCTTTCAGCCGGTTGTCGAAGTGAATCTGACTGTTCTGGTCAACACACCTGCGTCAACCGTATTTGCGTGCCCGTGTGCGCCGCGGACGGCAGCAGTTGCGGAACCGCATCTGAATGTTACGGCATCAATCATCAAGCCGTGTGCGAATGTCCGCCAGGAATGGCTGGAAATCCACAGATAGCCTGTGTAGTCGCTGGCTGTCGGTCAGATACGGATTGTCCTAGCGACAAGGCGTGCATAAACACCAAATGTATCGATCCGTGCACCAGAAATAATCCGTGCGTCAAGCCAGCCGAATGTACGGTGTACAACCACCGCACCGATTGCACATGTCCGCCAGGTTACGTCGGAAATGCAGGAACTACTTGTAAACAAAGTGCGTATCTAAAAGACATCAGGGTCAGAGCTTGAAACAAAAATTAATTTTGAAAACCTCTTTTCTATAGTCGAAACTGGATGTCAAAGCGATTCCGAATGCCCATCACAAACGGGTTGCATCAACAAATTGTGCGTCAGCCCGTGCGACGTTTCGTCACCGTGTGGAACAAACTCAATATGCAAAGTCCTCGATACCTTCCCGATAAGAACGATGACGTGTGAATGTCTACCGGGTACACAAGGAAATGCAGCCATACGATGTGACGAAGGTAAGACGTTTTCTCAATATCAATTGATAGTTACTTAAATATAAAGTAAAACTTTGTCTAAGATCAAATCGACTAAATCAGTTCAAAATAAATCTATCAAAGTTCTAAACTTACGATAATTCGTTTAGAAACTTATTTATATCCAACATAAATGCCTATGGATATCTAAAATCAAGATCGCGTTTAAGAAAAAAATGCAATTTTACGTAATTTAGAATAAAAACGAGTAACAGCTTTATTATTTAAAACTGTAACAAACTATAACAACAATAATATCTAATGTATAACGATATAGCTCATAATATAGTCAGTATGTAGGATAACATTTTTAAATTGTTTACTTAGGTAGATCACGTTTTAAAATAATATTCTAAATCTATATGTTTTGTTAACCATTATTATGAATTGTTTTGTGGTATTTTATTATTTTAGATTATCTTTTTGATCAAATTTAATTAAATTCAGAAATTATAATCGTTTTTACTTTTTTGTCGTATATAATTAAATTACGTTATAATCATTACACTTCCATGCTCTATGACTACAATATTTTATCGTAATACTACACTATATTATAATAAAATAATAATGTTTGTATTTATTATTATTTTAGTTTCAAAATGTCCAATCGATAAAGGCTACGTGAGAAATGAAAACGGAGAATGCGTGTGTCCTCCGGGCACAGCCCTAAACCAAGAAGACGAATGTCGTAGGTGCGTAGTCGAACTAGGATACAAGATCGATGAACGCGGCCATTGTGTGTGCGCGCTGGACAGAGGATTGATTATTGACGAGAGAGGACGTTGCATATGTCCGACTGAACACGGTTACAGTTTGAACATCTATGGACAATGCGTACCGAGTATGTGTCAAACATTATGCTATAATAATAATAACAACGGTTCTTTAATAATATCACCGCAATGTTTTATTGATTTGCTTTATTAAAACTATAAATAAAAATGTTTTCAGAAAACACAACACAACTCAGGACGGACTTCCCAAGACCGGACATGGTCGTCACGTGTTTGTCGGACGGAGTACAAGTGGAAATCCATATTACAGAAAAAGGATTTAACGGAGTGCTTTATGTGAAGGGTCACAGTAAAAACGAACAGTGTAGACGAGTCGTATCGATGGCGCAAGACTCGTCACCCAGGACAGAAATTTTCAAAGTCAACTTTGGAAATTGTGGACTTATACACATCAACGTGAGTTTAATTTGTAATTTTTTACTCTTAGTTGCGTTATAATATCTAAATACAGCGTATTAAGCGTAATTTCATCACTGACGATGAAAACTATTGATTATACATGTTTAAGTATAATAGTACCTACTTAACTAATGACAACATGTATTGTGCACAACAGGGCCAGGCTAGTTTTGTGTTGGTCATACAGAAACATCCAAAATTGGTGACTTACAAAGCCCAAGCCTATCACATACGATGCGTGTACAACACTGGAGAACAGAACGTCACGCTTGGCTTTAACGTTTCCATGTTGACCACGGCTGGTACCATTGCGAACACCGGACCACCGCCTACGTGTCTGATGAAGATCGTCACGCACACTGGTCAAGAAATCGATTCAGCTGAAATAGGTGACAACCTAATGCTACAAGTGGACGTCCAGCCGTCGAGTAAGTGTAAAAATGATTTATAAATATATTTACAGTTAATATCGATCACACGGTCACAAGCACAACTGGCCTAAAACATTGTGTAGGTACCAACTAAATCGAGATACTATTAATGTATACATGTATTTAATTATAGGATACAAACCCWTATGTACACTAATTATAATTTCCTAAAAATTTTAAAATATTTGAAACGTCTAATTAATTTTGGGAATTTTTTACCACTTAAGTCTCCCACCCATTGTTATTGTTACATTGTAATTTCCGTATAGCCAGTGACAATTAATCTATAATGATCCATTCTTATATTATAGGCATCTACGGAGGATACGCCAGGAGCTGTGTGGCAAAAACTATTGAAGACAATGTAGAGAACGAGTACATAGTAACCGACGAAAATGGGTGCGCGACTGACCCGACGATATTCGGCGAGTGGGACTACAACGCAGACACCCAATCGCTGTTGGCTGGTTTCAACGCATTCAAATTCCCAAGTTCCGACAACATAAGATTCCAATGTAACATACGCGTATGCTTCGGCAAATGCCAACCGGTACGTACAACTGTTAAGTGTAGATAAAAATGGAGTGGTCTATGATGTTTTCAGCCAACAGTATCTGTTGTTTCCATGAATATTATCGACTGAAACGYTTGGGCCATCTTGAGGAAGTGTATCCTTCACTTATTTTGTATTATATTTTATATTAGGTACCTACACATTTTTCTTGAAATCATAAAATTTTTAGTACTTACATGTTTTTTTGCGATTGGAACGTTTAGATGTATTTGGTTAGTTGTTATACTTTTTCGATCTAGTCGTACAGGACTTGTGTCATACTAAACATAATATTTAGGAYAGTGTATTTTATTCAGCTCACCCTTAATTTAGCATTTAGTTATACATTTATTCAAATTCTGATTTTGGAAATATTTAAGCATAGATACTTCAATACTATATTTTTTAAATACTTAAATTTTTATACCACTTAAGAGTATCTTGCAATGATACAATCTTAATTTTTTTAAATTAAAATCACTTTTTTTATGTTAAATATTAGGTGTATGATATTTTGAATATTTCTTAATGTATCTATGTCTAAATTGAAATTTAAACGAGTAGTTCATAAATTATTATAGATTGTGTACCTACAATTGATAAAAGTTCAGATGAATCCTAAGTAATAATCTTACATGAAATAAAATATATTATAAAATATTTAGGCTATAACACTTAGTCAAAAATTATTTAATAGATTAATTTTAAGTTTAATCTTTAATCTTTAATCTCAAATTATCTTAGGTTGTATGTAATAACCATGGACTATTAATCTAATAGAACATACTAGGTAACTATAGGATAAATTAGAATTTTAATATTACATTCTTCAAAAATTACATCTTGAAAAAAAATATCATTAACTGTCTAAAAATCTAGTTTTWAAAAAAAAAAAAATAATATATGTGTTTACTATATGATCTGTAGTCTTACCTATTTAAAAATTCAAATCTTAAAGTATGAATAAGTGCATAATTAAAGAATGAGCACGCACTATAATGGTCTATATGGATTAAATCATATACCTAATTAACAATACGGTAAATCGTATGAAAGCAACACCGTCTGCAGGCGTAATGAAGAAACAATGATGACGAATGTTTCTTCGTAGGTAATCTATTGAATATTACCGACTCACATACTGACGACAAGACAACGTGGTAGGGCGAAACAATAACGATTTGTGCTCACGATCTACTATCCCCACTGTCATTATTACACGTCTAATATAACTATATTAGGAGGTAGGTGTATAGTACATATTGTGCCTTGATGTTCAGTCATATAACATTTTGATATCTTCTCACACGATTGCAGATTAAAAAAAAAATGGGTTTAATGTACCGACGAATAAAGAACTCGGTTTAAAAAAATTCACTGTTTTAAATATTTCTTTATTTCCTATTGATCTTTTACGAATGTTTAAAATATTTGTTTGGAGCGCACATGTTTTTATAGTTAACAAATCGACGTAACAAAAGAAGTGTAAGGACCGATGATGTTTCGGGAGGAGTGAGCAGATCCCACCTTTGCTACTCTCTATAATATACAGCCCATATACGTTAATACGTTTCTGTGTATTAACTCATCGAACTGTCGTTGCTTGTAGGTAAATTGCCGCGGCTACAACGCCTTTGGAAGACGCAGAAGACGTGAAATATCCAAGAACGACGACGATGCCCTTGAGTCCGCCCAGCGAGGACAGCTGAGAGAAGAGATCACGATCGAATCGAACGCCATTTTAACGTTCGAACGCAGGGAAGAACGACTGATGGATCCGACTGAAGGTATGTTGTACAATAATTATTCCGTCTAGGTATTATAATATATATTACCAAATGATTACTATGCCGTTAGCATCGATGYGCAGATGGCGAGATCAAGAACGCGTCGACGGTTATATGATTTTTCAAAACAAATTCGTATACGCGCGTATTTTCTCCTCTCGTATAAGTACTCCGACTTCGTTGACGTCATCGACGATAAGCGTTGATATCCTACTACGTTTGACCTACTACCTACTCTCGTTTGCTTTTACTTTCCCCGACCTGGCCTATTACCTTTTCAGGCTGTATAGGTAATAGGTATTATTCATAATCTATAATATTATGTCATAAGCCGGTACAGGCGTGTGGCAGACAGTACATGCGCTAAAATATTTGTGCATGGCTTTGGAGTTGGTATCAGAACCAAAATATTATTACAATATTCTTACATAATATTATATCGTATATACCTACCATATTTTACTTAATTACCGATATTGATATGATTATTAATAAAAATAATATTCCCAACCGTTTGTAGTATTTGTACCTACGCCGTTTTATACTTAACAATCCGTTTTGTTACATTTAATTTTAAAATTCAAAGTCTAATTAAAATGAGATTTAACGATATTAGTTGAAAACAACTGTTTTTACTTTTTAACCAATTTTTTTATCCACTGGTTTTTTTTATACTTGGTGAAAGTTTAAGGTTAATAATAGTGTYCGACAGACCAATGAATATTAAATATTATTACAGAAAATAATAAATACAAATATTGTAATCTAATGTTTACCAATTTACCATTTGCTTATACAAATCAGCATAATTTAAAACAAAATATCTCAGTAGGCCCTAGGCAGTCGTTAACATATAGGTGCTGTATAAAAATATGCCTTACAAATAATAAAAAATATTTGAAATTTAAATAAAATAAAATAAAAAAACAAAATGTTGTCAATCATTTTTTTTTTATTTTATCTGCGACTCAAGTCCATGCATAACATATAATGCATTATATAGAACGACCGCCATACCCATTTCAATATTTCATTGAAAAACATTTTGATAGGGTGGAAGGYTACTATCCGTTATGAAATTTTGTCTCGCGATAWCTAAATTTATTGGTGCCTATGAGTGTGTACTAAAATTATTCATTTTTTTGTTACCCCTACCTTTTTAGCTCCAATCATTCAGCCCGCCGAGGACATTTGTGTGTCAGTCATCGGACTTATAGTGGCCCTTGTCATCACGGCCCTGCTAGCGCTGGTGGCTGTGGCCGTGGCTGTTTCTTGTTGGCTGATGGCCTACAGGAGAACGCCAAACGTCAACGGTCCACTGCCGCATCCTACCCAAGTGCCGAATCCGATGTTCATGAATCATGACCGGACGTCTTCCGAACCGTCGCCGGATTACCTGACATGATGAAATCAACGAAGACTAAGACGACGACAACGATATTATATGTTATTTTGTCGTCATTTATTCATTTATACGACTACCTATAATTTTATAAAAAATCAATTTGTCATACCTTAACACCACCTCCCCCCCCCACCCACATAACAGTCGGGTCGTAAGCGCCTAACACATTTTATTATTATTATTTTATAAATGCCTATATACTGTTTTACGACTGTTATTCGTTTGCCATGTTTTGCGCTCAACAAAAGTATCACGGGCCTTTAATTAGCTGCAGACACTCGCCGTTCAAATTATAAAATAATAAATATTAGACATTTAAGAAGTACACATCGTAATGATAATATTATAGACATTGGGATGGAAAAAGGTTAAGGAAAGAATACTTACTTATTTGATAATGTAACGAGACGACGAGTGTTCCCCGATTAAAGGCCTTTCAGTGAACTAGACGCGATATAATTAGTCAAAACTACTCAATTAAAACGTAAATAATTATTTCTAACGTACATAATATTATTATTCATGTTTTAATTGTTGTATGGACATCTCTTCCGAACGCTTACACGGCGCGTTTTGTAGCTTAATTAAATAGGTATCTCACGCAGACATAAGCCATTGTTAAAAAAATATATGCTATACATTTATTCACAATCCGATGACGTGTTGTGCGATACATTTCTTCGAATGGGTGACGTTTGAAGTCGTAAGCTTTCGGAAGACTTGTTCACTTTTAGTTTTAAGGTATATGTGAGTGTATGTAATATATTAGAATTAAATTTGTATAATCATTTAACATTTTAATCGAATGTTGTGTATGAAAGTGTGATATATGAATAACTATTAATTTATTAACAAAATAAATAATTTAAAAAAAAAAATTAACTTCCTAAATAAACATATTATTTTCAGTCATTAGAAAATCGTTAAAAATGACTAATTATATATATATATATATATTACTCCTACTTAAATCAAAACTGTTAAGTATTCTTTTCCAGTCATTAATTAACAAATTTAGGCTTTAGAATAAATTTATATATTGTAGTACCTAACTAGCAGTAAGTTCTGTTTAAGATTGTCTTTTATTGAATTAAAATATTATAACATTTTAACTTAATACTTCAGTATTGCATTTTACAAACATCATAATGTAACAGTTATTTTTTTTTAGAAATTTAAAATTAGATATTTAGAATTCAATACTGTGTGATAATTATTAAACGAAAATTATGCTTTTTTAAAACTTTTTGTTTATCATTTTTGTCCTTTACATCAGTATAATGGTTCTAAACCGATGTGTCGCAAATTATCGTGTGTTCGTCGCTAAAAAAAATTATTTTATTTCTTTAGTTATGAGTATTTTTAATTTACGCAAAAAAAAGTTGAGCTATTCTAAAAAAATGCAGATATTATTCTTATTAATAAGTTTCATAATAKATTGATTCTATTCTTTAAACTTTCAAAACTAAAAGTCAATTGCTGATCGTAAGTTTGCAATTTTATGCGCTTGTAAGACTATGACAATAAGTGCGTGTGTAGCRTCCTCTAAAGTATCGATCAATTTCAAATAATTTTCATTGTCAGTTTATAATATAAAATCGTTTCAAAAATAACAGAGGAATGTAAAGGAGTCATTCGCGAGCACATTCGCCGATTTTGGTAGAACTTAAGCGTTTAGAATGATGTTTAGATCAATGGTCGTKAACTGGAGGGGCGTGGAAGGCAGAAAACTGGACCGTCAATATGAAATGTTGACAATATTGTCTTAAATTATTTTTTGCCTTCATATTAACTATCGTAAAAATATATTATAATACTATTTTAAAAAAGATTCGACTAAAATTTTTWTCGTTGGACCTCATTTATTTGTTATTTTTAATTTTTTGGACTCCATTAGAAATGACTTGCCKACCACTTGTTTAGATATAAGTATAATCTCAGATTGCCTAGAAAATATAACGTTCAAATGTCATGACTCGTGATGAATAGAAACACCAAAAATGATTGCTATAAGATGTCAGCAATAGCCTAGCATCACTGCAATAATCTTATCACTAATTAAAGGTTATTATATCGTTTCAGAATTTGTCTACTTTACACTGCAATAGTTTTAAAGTTGAGGTTTATATTCTCTGTATGGCTCGTGTTAGATTCCGTTTTCGTCCTGGTTGCCTGAAAATATAAACTTATAAAGTCCAACTGTATTAAAATAACAAAATATCAATAGTAATAATAATTTATTACGCATCCATGTGTATTAGGATTTTCAAACTTGTTAGAGCATTATCACTAGTATCATTAACAATTCATATAAATTTATAAAGAAATTATTCAAAATAAATGTTGAATGTGCGCTTATATAATATTACGAAAACTTACAATGATAATTAAATCTTGATAATATTGTGTGATTAGCAAATTATGTACTAGGTAACTAATAAGTTATTTGCATATTTCGAATATTAAAATTTCACTTTTTCTATCATTATCTATTTCAATCAGACATTTTGCACAACTCTGGTTTAGTGTACTTTTTGTATACAATACCTTCTCTATTTTTATAATGCATATTTGAATGAACTGTCGCCGTATATAGTTCTTATGAAGAAGTAACAATTGGCATATTTTGTTTTCTACATCTTAGAAGTGCATATAWATTACTATACGTCATACATCAATATATGCTCACTTGGTCAGTAAATTATATAAAAAACAAAAAAAAATAAAAATATTATTTAAAACAAAATAAATGTTATATCTTTTGTCAAGYCCTGTTACACCCTGTATGGCTGTCAGGTTGTATATAAACACATTCTGTTCAATTAAATACACAGTGGATATAATGAATCATTGTGAAAACCCAACTCAATCTTAATAACACGCAACTTCTTCAGTTTTGAATGATCTTAACACTATACAGGCCTTTTTTGTTTTTACGTCTTACAAGTGCAAACCTAACAGCAAATTAACAATCAGCAACTCACATAAGGATTTGTCAATCTAAAAATTTGAATGAATTGACCTGTTGACCTGTCATGAAACTTGAAGGTAAGAACATTATCTATGTTTGTATGTGGTTTATTTATTTTTTAAGACAGTTGAATTTTTAGCAAGTTTTTTTTAGCATTTTTTTTATCGTAAATTAAAATGGCAAAATGTTAATATTTAATTGGTAYTCAAAATAAATAAGAAAACAAAACACTGGCATTTGTTGTTTCTGTCCTACAAGTGTGTAACATAGCAAGTTTATGTTCATGTGTAACTTTGTTAGTTTAAAAATTAGAGTGAATCAATATCTTATGAAACTTTATGGTAAGAAAAYTATCTGTGTTTGTATCTGGGGTTTTTACAATAATTTAGTTTTTAAGCGAGTTATTAGAATTTTTAATTTATGCTATATAATATACAATATATTAAACTGTAAAAACCCCAGATACAAACACAGATAATTTTCTTACCATAAAGTTTCATAAGATATTGATTCACTCTAATTTTTAAACTAACAAAGTTACACRTGAACATAAACTTGCTATGTTACACACTTGTAGGACAGAAACAACAAATGCCAGTGTTTTGTTTTCTTATTTATTTTGARTACCAATTAAATATTAACATTTTGCCATTTTAATTTACGATAAAAAAAATTCTGTTAATCTTGAACACAATTCAAAAACCATAAAAATAAAAATATAAAAACAGTAAAAACTATAGATCAAAACACAATTTTTTTTTAATCTAATATATTTTATTAAAAACATATATTTACATATTTTTATAGTATAATATATGTAATAAACTAATAAATATTATAATTGTTTAAAAATGTTATCAAAAAAAAAATAAATAAAAATACATTTAAAATAAAAATTACTTTAATCTTAACACATTCAAATCCAACTACTAAATTGTAAATATGCGACACACATTGTACATAATTTATGCATTGAAAAGTGTTCCTTATTAAAGGTCATCATTTTAATTCAATTGGATACATTTTCATTGAAATCATATCAAAAAAATAAAAATAAAATTCTTAGGAATAATGAATTTATACATTTTTTTTTTCACTGCACAGAATTATGAAAATGAAATAAATATGGCGCTGTCCATTAGTGAGACAAGTTTATCAGTCCTTAGTGCATACCATATTTACAGTTCAGTGAATTCAACATACAGAAAATATTTATATCAATGCAAAGAAATAATAGAAACATGAAATAATTTTTTCATCAAAAATTATAAATCACTAAATATATTCCTCGGTGGTACCCAAGTACTGTTAGGTCTTGTACTCACAWTGGGCAACTGTCTTTCTACTTCAGAAGTATCATTTGTACTATAACTATGATAGGATCGATCAATGGGATCAGCATTATCCAATAAGTATGATTTCATGTTGTCTTTTCGAGATGGTGGAACTCCTAATAATTCATTATTGATTATTATGGTTGTAAACTTTATGAAATAATAACATTATGCTATACATACTTTCCTCGACATCTTCATTTGTATTTGGTATAGATCTTTCTCTATATTTACGACGCATTTCGTTACCTCGTATTTTACGTTCACGCCTTTCTTTTTCTAAATTCAAAATAAACAATTTGAGCATCAAATAATATCTTTTAGTAGAATATTGACAATATACCTCGTACAACTAGTAAACGGCCTTCTTGAATGTAATCGGTCACCAAATCATCATCTTCTAAAAACTGAGGAAATCCTAATATGGATAATATTCTCGTTCCCACATTAAAATAAGTTGCTAAACATACAGCAAGTATGAGGGTTGGAAAGTATACATTGAAACCATCACTAATTATTGTAATAACATCCATATGACCCATTATCTAAAATTAAAATAACTCAAGTAAGGTAAAAAAAGTATTTAAATTATTGGTATCCAGTCAAAAAAACAAATGAAAAACTGTGAGCATAACAACCTTGAGTAGCATAAATTAATAAGAGAAAAAACAAAATAGGTTAGAGAATTTCTTAGTTATAAGTAAAAAAAAACTATTATTTTTTTTACTTAATAGCACATCATGCATGCATGTTATCTTGATTTTACAAACATACATACAAAATAGCAAAAACTTTCTTGCGTGGATAAGAAACGAGAAGGATGCAGTCATAACTAAGAATTTTTTTAGTATAAAGAGAAGAACATTTACTATGTAACATAATTTTAAAATCGTGCATATTACAAATAAATCAAAGTTATTCAAATTTTAAATAATGCATTTTTAAACAATAAGAACTTTTTCATGTTTGTGATATCAGAAAAATAAAAACGGTGCTGCACAGTAAATGTTCTCTACTTTATAGCATGAAAATGTTATTTCTTAGTTATGACTTTATGACTGTAACCTTATCAATTCTTTCCTGCTTAAAACAATTTTTTTTTATATCATTCTTTTTTAAGATGAAGACAACACATGTGGATGTGACATCCTCTTAAGTATAAATAGTGTGAAGAAAGGAATTTTTCATTCAGTTAACTTGTTGATCACAAGTTATATGTAATTGTCAAATGATAAATGTTGGTGACTGATGTTTCCCATAGAAATGGTTGATCATTATTACCATGCCCCACAAGACCACCAGTTACTATAAATAAATATTTTTTACATCATTAATTTTACCATGGCACCATAAATAATACACTAAAAAAGTACAGTAGCGTAGCGGGAATCATTTTTTGATGTAATAAACATATTTAATTTATTTTTTTAAATGTTTTTTTCTCTATTCCATAGTATATATAAATTTGAGATGACACTAAAAAATATACACAGCTTAATCATAATATATATCAAGTGATCACTGGCGGTCATATGGCAGTCAACATATAAATAAAATAATATGCTATATTTTTAAACATTAAAAAACTGTTAAGTTAGATAAACAAATAAGTATTGAGGAATTACTAACATATTATGCTATAGCCTTCTAACTTGTTTTAAAATTTGATATGATTATCATTCATTTTTTCTCTAATATTTAATTATTATCCACATCATTATTCTTTTACAATTTTAGTCTATACCCAAATCAAATTTATAAATTTTTACCT